TTGGCACGGGTTAGGTCGTTTGTTCCAATGTGTAAGATAACAATGTGGGGTCGAAAAGACTCTACAACATGTAGGTCATAATGGACAAGTTTTTTTAGAGTTCTGCCCCCAACACCGTGGCACCTTACAATTACATTATTCTCGCAGTGAAAATAGGGGCTAAGATCGGAATTACATTCGATGAAGTCGTGGAGACGACGAACAAAGGAATGTCCCAGAATAAGAATGCGCTTGTCAGCCATAACTTACACAGTTAGGGCGTAAAAGTAAAATAACTTGCCTGATAATTTTAAGAGAACTTGCTCGACTGCGAGAATAATAGGAAAGAGGCCTCGTGGTAGTAAGACGCGCCTTAAGTACTGCTACGTAATAACAGTAATCATATCCTATTGGTCGACTTGAGATATGCGGATTCATCTAGTTGGATTACCGGATCTAACAACAGTATAATGTTTCGACATAAATGTCATTCTATCACATGACAGGAAGTCAGGTGATCCCATGAGATAGCACAGCGCTTGCGCAAGTCATTGCACGGATTGCGTTCAAAGCAAGTTGTTCTTATAAWTTTTGTTAAAGTCTTCAAACGATTCTGGATTAGTCTAACGCAGTTAGTCTAGCAAGAAATCCAGCTGGGATCAACGTAGTTGATACCTAAACGTTGTTGTAAGGTCCTAACGTGATTAGGTACCGACGTACACTGGTACAATATGGRCGACGAGGCCGGTGAAGGCTCGATTGTGGCGGACAGAGACACGCCACCTAATGGTGATCATGATGTGAATGGCATGTTTGCCGCATTGCTTGGACAGATGCAAGCAATGAACCAAAACTTCGCTTCTTTCTGTTCAGGAGAAGCCRAAGAGGACAGTGACCAGGAGTTCAGTCGCCATGATCATGAAGCGGGACAGGGTGATATAGTCGACGAAGCCCTACAGACACTCATCAGCAGTCAGAATGGGGTAAAAACGCCAGAACCCGATGTCTTACAGGACATAGCAGCCGATCTAAATGTAAACGAAAAGACGGATCCTGCTATTCATGAGGGACTGGCGGGCATATTTAATACCCTTGTCAAGTCAAAGATGAGCGAAGAAAAGCTGAAGGAAAAAATGGACAAATATGTTCGTCCAGAAAACATAAAGGACCTACGGGTYCCTAAGGTTAATCCMCTAGTTTGGAACCAGTTGTCGTCCAGCATGCGATCGCAGGACTCAAAATCACAAAMGTCGCAAGGCATTTTGATGGGATCCACCATGGCATCCATCAAAGCGGCCGATCTGGTGATGAAAAAGTATCCCGGTGACCGTGATCTGTTAAAGATCATCACCGACAGTGTAGCCATGGGCTTACAGTTTAATCATGAGGTCAACCTATCAAGGAGAATGGCCATGGAAAAAAGAGCTCCACAAGGATTACGCGTCTCTCTGTAATGTTTCACCCGCAGGGGATGGTGATTCGGAATTTCTCTTTGGCGACTTGTCCAAAATAACCAAAGACATCGCYGAGGCAAACAAGCTGACAAAGAGGGTTCGTCCCACCTCTACAACAACACGTGGGGGTCATCATGGCGGCCACCAGAGCTATGGCTACAAAGGGAATCGCCGATTCCAGCCGTATGGCAGAAGTAAAA